ACGGTAATTACGTAAGAACCCGGGTTTCCCGGTTTACTTACGTTTCCGTTATTAGTCCGCATACATCGGCCGCGTGTCCGACTTAGGTGGGGGGGGGCGAATAGCGATTAAATATCTCGAGGTAAAAAAAATGAAGCACAGAAAACCAAGTGACTACAAGAAAAACAAACAACTTGTCTTGGAAATTCCTGAAGATCCGTGCAAACATGTCATTCTAAAACTTGTTTCCATAAAGTTCACGGATAAATGTTTTTATTATTTTGAGTTAATCATTAAAAAAAATCTATCCCCGGAAACAAAAAAGAGATTTAAATACTTTTCAATGCTATAAAATACTGTTCACGCTAATAGTTTCGATGACAAATTTTGTAAATTTTTAGTATTTTCGTCGTAGTCTTGTCTACATTTATTGTTTAATTTACTTGGCATACTTCATGCAATTTTCCTGGTATATTTTTATATTTTTGTTGTTTTGTTCAGTGTTTGTATCAGACAGTATGTTACACCTTTTTCTGTATATTCTTTACTTGAAACTAGTAAATGTTAGTATATGAGATAAGTAAATGAGTAAGTGGCTAGCGTAGAATAATTTCTTCTGTAATATTCCTGGCTGTATATCTTGACCTTAGCTATCGCTGTGGTGCAACATTCAACAAATTCATAAACTAAACAACGTTACAAAAACTGAATAATGAGACGATCCCTTTAAATATTAAAGTATTTAATGTTACTACTATAGTGTATGATTCTTCTACACCAGAATAAAGTATTTCAACTACAATACACAAAAAAGTCAACATATATTAAAAGCTACATGATTTATTTATCATACTTTTCTCTCAATTAATTTTAGTCCTTCAATTTCATTCATACTTTGACTATATTTGTACATAATTATTTGGATCTGAAGATGCAAGGCGGAACACATTCAAAACGTCGTCCTCTACACTCGTGTTTCTACAACAGGCAGTTTAATCATGAATACTCTGCCTAAACAATCTATCAAAGAATATTTATACATATTTTATCACACATTCAAAACGTCGTCCTCTACACTCGTGTTTCTACAACAGGCAGTTTAATCATGAATACTCTGCCTAAACAATCTATCAAAAAATATTTATACATATTTTTATCACACACATTTAACAAAAATTACATAAAAATGTTCAGTCTCGAAAACAGTATATATGATACATATATATATATATATATATATACTCATGTGTATGTGTGAAATTTTGTGGAGCCATTAATGCTCAAATTATAAAATTTTATTCTATTTTTGAGTATTTCCACAACCACACCTGAATATAATTACCATGTGTAAAAACAATAATATTATTTTAAAAATACGAAGTCAAATCCTACCATGCCTAGACAGAACATAGTAACCGTTGCTGAACTTATTTAATTAAAATAAAGCTTTATTTAAAATAACGGCATCGCAAGAGACGTTAAAACATTTTTTTTTATTATCATTGAAATCTCGTCCACTAACGACGAAAATAGTCAAATTATCACTAGTAAATATCCATATATATATAAACAAAAAATCAGTGAATCATTTCCCAGACATGGTATGCCGTGCTACCACTATAATAATTTATATTCTTACATTTGATATATTCTATACTGTCATTATACTGCGATAGCTTTCGGAGCTTAACAACCTGTTTTAAAACATTTTGAAAGATAGTGTCTTGGTATTATTAGACAGTACAAAGAGAATATTTTTAAATTTCAAACAACGCAGAAGGCTATCACAATCTTTTTTATCTAGTGGTTTTGTAGCAAGAATTCAAAAACTCAACTCTCTCTTTGCTCCAAGCTGTTTGTGTCAACCGTGATTTTGATATAATTCTCTATCGCAATTTCCTCCAGGTCTTCAATCATATATATACTATTGGATTCTTAAAAGTTTGGTTGCGTTACAACAGATGAATTTAAAAACTAAGTCATGGTACTTTCGTGTAATTATTTCCGTTGCGATATGTACTCTCAAGGATGACCTATCAGAGAGTTTTTGCTATATTTTTGCGGTAACATTGAAGAACAGGTAACCAACCACACTACTTGACCCGCTATACCGCTTAGCTACACTAGTACATGTTAACTCTAGCCTCGTCACTCCCGGGCATCAGAATGAGCAGCGTGACGCATGAGGCTGTTCAATCGTGCTCACTAGCCCTACGAAACACACGCAAAGACCTGTAGCCGAGAGTAGGTGACTAGGAAGTGTATAGCAAATCTGAGCAGATAGCCCTCACGTTGCACAAGAAGTAAGACTGCCGCAGTGATTGGACTGATCTATTCTGCTGGTGGCTTTAAGGTAGCTGTAGTACTTACTAATATTCCTTCAATATCTGACAGTGCCGTAAATACTCTTTGATAATTTTGATACTGAGATAGAGAAAAACATTGTTTCCAGAATGTTTAATGTAACTTACGTTTAAGCTGAAATACTCGTACTGCAGCTCTTCACAAAACATTTAATAGAATAGTTTATGTAATTACAAGCTATATAAATATTTTTAAGAGTTGTTTGAAAATGGCTAAAAGCCTGTACAGAGCATGACGAGGGTTGAAAGGTCATGAGTCCTCAACCTTCCGTACCCTTTGACCTTCAGAAGTACATAGGCAGTAGCCTTATCTCACAGCATCCTCGTAACAGTAAGAAAGGAAGACAGACGGAAACAACAGAGTTTGGAAACAACTGTAGGACACGAAGAATCTCTGGTGGCATCAGCGTACCAGTTTGTACTTGCTGTGGAGGAGTACAGATCCAAAAGCCTAACTTTTCAAGGTTTCAGAATTATGCTTGGACAGGTATGCCACTCATCAGCGTGGCCAAAGGACACACAAGGAAACAACAACAACAGAGCAGCAAGATCAAATTCCAAAGATGGCCTTCTAACTTCACAGACACTGAGTATAATCAAAAACAAACACTGACTGGAAGTTCAGCTGTTAAATGTAATAGTATAGACAAAGAGACGACCGAAGAAGAATTGTCCTCCATGTCAAAACTAGCACTTCATGCCCAAGGGTCTCCCTTGATTTTATCTAATGAACACAAGGAAAAAGGTGAAAATAAAGGCAACTCGAACACGGGATCAAATACAATGAAAGGTAAACATTTCTACATAGGAAACGAACTCTACCTCCATCCACAGTATCACTGGGCCACAAATGATGCTAGGTTGGCTGGAATTAGTGGAACGTGCTCTGAAAATATTCAGTTTGATTTAAGATCAACACCTGTTGCAGTTGATGAAACAGGTTCTGTCAGTGGGGAATCTGATGTAAAATCTGAAACTGACTTAAACGACCCAACTCCACCTCAGCAGAGCGACAGCCTGAGTATTACTTCAGATTCTTCTGGTTCGTCTGAGAATAGTCTTCCAAGAATCATCAAACCTCGAAAACGCAGGAAGCGAGATAGAAAAATGAACGAGTTTAAAGATCAAAATGTTTCGGTAATTCTAACACTGAAGCCCTACCAACCGCTTTGTTTTCCTTATACGGAGGGAGTGAACAAAACTGGGAAGAATTTTATCCACAGAAATACCTTTCCTGGTCTTTGTTATTCATCAGAATCAGAACACGAGCTGGAAAGTGTCTTTGGGTCATTAACGATGACTCAGTCCTCTCTTTATCCATATTCTTCATCCCCACTTTGTTCATGTAAACGTTGTATTACCCTATCTCCTTTCCTAACCCCACCTCTCTCTCCACTTGGGAGTCCTGAAGAACTTACTGAAAAATCTTCTCAAGAGCCGATATGTGAAGTTTCCACTCGTATTGTTACCTCACCATGTGGAAGTAGGGATTTAGAGATAAAATTTTTGACCATCTCTAATACAAACAACCGGAAAAATGGATCAGAACACCGATTAGAAAACCCATCTACATCCAACTTGACGTCAGACACATCGCACTTCCATTCACTAGAACGTAAGTAGACTTTTTCTTTTATGTATTTTATAAAAGTTAGAGTTGTATGACTTAATACCTGAATAACGCCGACTGATTGTTAAATGGATGGAAATTAGTAGTATTTGATTTGTAAATGTTTTGTTTTTGTGTGTTAAGAATGTTAGAAACAACCCTGAAAAAGCTTAAAATGTGTGACAGTGAATGTGTAATAACATGCATTAAAACATAGTTCTCAACATCTATACAATACATGAATCTTTCTATAAGAAAATGTAAGACGACAAAATTTTCTCTCTTTTTCTAACTCTTAAACTTTTTCACCCCCAAACTCTGTTCTAATTCTCTCCCAACTGCAGAAGAGATTTTTAGCCTTCAATCTTGAAACTGGCTACTCTTTGCCTGTTAACTGATGTTTTTGTTTCCTTACTCATTATCTCAAGGTCACTCACTAAGAGCCTAATCTAGATGTTATCTTAATGTTTGATCGATTAACGAAACGGGAGCTTGAGGTCTCCCTTCTTGAAATCTGTTATTTCATCAAGATTTGGAAACGGTTGAAGTCAATTTTTGGAATAGTATTTGTGTGAAGTCAGCGACTTTAGACAGAAACCACTCTAAAACATATATATGTGATAACTAAGCTATAAACAAATATAAAATCTAATTCGGATCATTGAGCCATTGACAAAGAATCGGAAGTGAGCAAAACATAACAATCAGCTTAGAAATATACATTCCTACATAATTATATTATGTAGCTACATTATTTGTTTACAAAAATAATCAGTTATGTTTGTGCACACTATAATATGCTTATAGCAGTTTGATAACTATAGGGTACTGACGAAAACTTTCAAATCAAATAAAAAATATATCAAAATATTCAAATTGGACCTTTCATTAAAGGTCTTTGTAGACATTTTAAAAAATTATTTATTCGAAACTGACATCAAAACAGTCAAATAAAGTGGTGTACTATATGACAAATATATATATATATATATATATATCCATATATATAGAGAGAGAGATAGAGTTTTCACGTAAAGCTACACAAGGATTATCTGCGCATAGCCTTCTCTGATTCTCGACTTATAGTTTAGAGGAAGGGCAACCAGTGAACAGCACCCTCCAACATTTTGGGCTACTTCTGTCTGAACGAATAGTGGAATTTGCCCGTCACTCTTATAGCACATTCACGGTCCTAAAATGCAAAGTCCACTTTTTTGTGGTAGCGGTACGTGAACTCTGAATCCTTGAATCACTAGGGTAATCACTAGGCCACATTTGGCCCAACAAAAATACATAATAATAAGTACCTAAAAATTACACTTAAATTTGTAGAAGGTGGGGACATTTTACTAACAGTAGTGGTGCTGGTTTCAAGATATTCAGTATATATATATACTTTTCGTACATCAATTTTGTTCGTTTGAAAGCGCACTGTCTTCGATTCTTAAATCCCCCTGCTTAGGATTTCTAACACATTGCTAGAAATCCCTGAAAATCATTTTACAAAGTTATATTTTCCGGTAGAAAACTATGAAAACTCTCATTGTTTGTTAATTCTGTTAATTAAACAACCTCAAAGCCATCACAAGTGTGTGTGTGTGGGTGGGGGGGGGTGACCTGATATCAAGGTATGCATCATACTCTACACGATGTGATTTTTGTTGAATAAAGTAAAGACTACATTTCTTTCAATAGGAATAAATTACTACAATATAAATTCAATTTTTAAGCCCTTTAATTCAAAGAACAGCAGTGATCATAACTTTAGACCAAACTTGATAATTAAGTGCAGTTAAGCTAAACGTGAAATCTTGATACAAATAAACTATTTATTTATTTTCCGGTTGAAAAAAAAATTCTCAACTAATATCCGGATGTATATGTTTAATACCATCATAATGTTCCTGTTTTAACACAGTTTAGTGAACCCCCAACGCAGAGTTATCAATAAAAACAAAAAAAAAAGACTCTTAATAATGAGACAAAAACAGTTTTATGATTAACTGCTTTCCGTATGGCGACTATATGTTATATGGCTGCATGAGTTAAAGAGGCAAATAAGGCAGGTTAATCCACTACAACCAACATTATACACTATTACAGAGTCAGGTAGGAAGCAAAAGACTATCTTGATAATTACCTGAATGTACATAAAAACTAGCCCGGTAAGGGAGTTGGGGATTGACTCATGTGAGTTCGTACAGGAGTGCATGTGTTCTGTGGCATATGATTTAAACTACGCGGAAAATAGAGGTCAGGGCTGGTGATTATTTCACCACATATAGAGTGTGGCTATAGATGTAAAAGCCTGCATATATTCAACAATGCCAGGTAATGATGTTTTTTGTTCCGGTTTAACGGCTTCACATTCAACAATAAGATGTGTAGCCAGAGCGAAAGATTTACATCTGAAGAGAAGAAAGGTTTCCCATAGATCTTAAAGGTTAAACATTGTAGCTGAAAGTAAAAAAGACAGTTAACTGTACAGACGAATGTCTCAAAACATTAATGCTAGATAGCGAAATAAAGGATTTTAACCTGTTTTGAAGTCAAGAACGCACATTTCAAGATAAACGAAAAACACTGTTATAGAAAAGTTCTGTGATGGGAATTATGTTTCTCATACAATTCATCTTTTAGTTTAAATGCTTTCATGTTGTAACCGCATGTATTGTAAAGTCACGGACACGTTTCTAAAATAACCGAAACAAACACACAACAGTTATGTGAAAAACATAGTTTTTTCATTGTTGCTCCTCTTCCGAAGACTGAGCAATAAGTCTGGGGGCTTATAACGCTAGAAATCGGGTTTCGATACCTCCAATGGACAGCACACAGATAGCCCACTGTGTTGCTTTGTGCTTAACAACAAACAAAACTTCCGGTGTCAAAAATAGCATTCTTAAAGTATAATCTTGTAGAAGTTACGACGCTAATATATTTTCCACAAAACTTGACGCCCATCTGTAATTCTCTTTGGAGGACAGACTTAAAAGAGTTTGTTGGATTTATAAGTATCTTGGTAGTTCTTTATTCCAGTAGCATGACCAAAATCTTCTTTAATCTTAGTTGTTTATTCTTATGTCATTAACGCACGGCATAACGCAGTGACAAAAAACTGGGAGTAATTCGTCAAACCACATTTCAAGATAGACTTGGAAACAATAGTATTGTAAAATATTTTCAATATATACTTTACTCATTTAATAAATGGGATTTTGTTGGCGATACGGGGCTTATGACAAATAGTTTTACTGCACCATATTTGTTCTTGTAATTACTTCTGTTATTCGGCAAAAAATATAAATAAAAAGATATGCATATAACATTAAGCAATGCCCTGCTGTGCAAAATTACGTCTTACAACCGGGTTGACCACTATATTGGAAGAGCGTAACCTGACCTAGCAAGAAGTAAAGGAAAAAGTCACAGCTTTCTTTAGTAAAGGACACTTCGGGGCACATTTATGTTGTATGACGAGTGAGTTCCGTACAGGTACACGCTTGTCCAGCGACGTCTTCCTGGTTTCGTTTCTTCCTCACCTGAAAACCACGCCTGTTTCAAGGTGAGGTCAACGAACTCTACTTGCCTGACCTGGTCTTGGAGACTGTACCGTTAGCTCTTCTTTGTTCAGAAACACAACGGTATCGTGTCCCGCGCCTCAGGCTCTTTCAGACGCCAACTGGGGGTAGGGGGTTACATACTCCACAATTTATTGAACGTGTAAGTATATGCTGACACCTACCTAACGATTTATTATTGTTTCTTATTACTCGCGTTTAGTGTTTTGGGAAGCAAATTCTCGGCTCCACCCAAAGACCGTTATGGATCTTTACCTTGAACGAGTTTGAAAGACATACTCATTAACAAATAAAGTTTATGAAATACGTAAAGTTCAACTTGCATTTTATTGTATATTTCCTTTTCATATATGTTTATTTATCTTGCTGTGTACTTTTAACATTATTTGCAGAAACACACCACAAGATATATATTTTTTTTAAATTGAAGTTAATGGCTTACCTTTCTAAGTACAAACAAATTATTACAACACTAATCAAAATTACAAGTTTTGTAACAAAACATCTAGTAAGAAATCAGAAGTAGTTTTAACCTAAAAATTGTCTATGCGTTTTTTAAATAACATTTAGGGATGTACGTACCAGTTGCAACATTAATTTTACGGAAGTAAGCGAGGTCCATTTTAAAATATGATTACATATTTCTTTTCTCAAAATTGGTATTCTTGTTATAGGTAATCTGCGTTTAAAAAAATACTTTTGGCAATTTAATGTTTAATCTGCAGTTACATAGTAGAAGCTCACTCAAGAAAATATATTAACGTTTTTGTTTTGAACTTAAATGCTGTCTAATAATGCCTATATTCAAATCTAAAGCTTATTCAAGTATGAAGTGTTAGAAAATACGTTTCAATTCAATAAGAAACTTATAATACATTGATTTGGCTCTGATACTTATTTTTTTGTGGGAGATTTAAATTGATTGAAAATGACCTAGTTTAAAAATAATATTCAGGTGTGTTGTGGTATAGAACTCTTTTTACATGCATGTCATACTGTTCTTCAGACAAAAAGAAATGCTTGTTTTAGCAAGCGGCAGGAAAGCAAACTGGAATAGACAAAATTAGCCACTAGCTCTTGTTTTTACAATGTATTGAGCATAAGCAGCAAGTAAAGGACCTTTCAAACGAGTTACGTTATTAATAGTAAACTGATACAGTTATACGTGAAACTGGAATAACATGAACTGAATAGGAAACTCCACCTCAAAGCTTTGGTTAATCTAAAAGTATGACATTTAAAATGTCTGTTGTTTTGTGTTAGCACAGAGCTTCATAATAGGCTACCTGAGCAGTGGCACTATAGGGATCGACCCCCTACTTCTAGCCACTGAGGACCACATTTGTAATGCTTCTTCCACACGAATGGTTTAAGCGTCTAATTGAAGCATGTCAAGACTACTAAACTGAGTTTATTGGAAAGAAA